CACACAGACAGCCTCTTCCCAATATGCGTTTTTGCAATTTGCATATATGCAAAAACGCGTAAAAACGCATATTGTGACAACCCATGGCGTGTGTGTGTGTGTGTGTGTATGTTCGTGTGCGTGTGCATATGTGTGTGTGTGTGTTCGTCTGTCCGGGTGTTTCAATTCGGTAACCAAGCAAGTTACGGTACTGAAATTTTGCCAGCGTGTTCCTCGGCCAAATGCCACCCCAGGACCGCAGTATCAAGCCTCAAACACGTCCGGACCCGCGTACGATTACTTGAAAGTTTTGGTGGGAAAATTGCTAACTCGGGAACCAGAAAAGTTGGAAGGCTGAAATTTTAATGGTGTGTTCTCAGCCCACATACAACTTAAAGGTTCCAAACTCAACCCGCAGGTGTGCATGGTTCTCAAGTACGGCCCTGTGAAAATTTTTGGCAGAAAAATTACTAATTTGGGGACCAGAACAGCTGGAAGGCTGAAATTTTAAAGGAGTATTCCATGTTCAAGTACCACATAGTTGTACAATTAAATTCCTCAATTCCGAGGACCAGTATTTCACAAATTCTAGGTACTAGGATTCCAAACGGTCTCACTACAGCAGGAAATACTGCAAAAACGCATGATCGCGTGGGTCCGTCCAGTGCGCGTCGCCAGTCATTTTCTTTAACGTAAAGCAGTAGCAACTTATACAGTTAACAATGTGTTTGCTTCAGTTTTAACGCAAAATCGCAGATCGCACCAGCAAGCCCGGTGCGTCACAGCCGGGGTTGTTTTCCTTCATTCACATTGGCTTCCTAATGCTTTCGTTTAGTGCACATTACGTTTTTTTGCATAGCTGCTTAACCTCTATTGCGTTACCAACCTTTGGTCAGGCCGGTGTTGATTCGTACCACCCAAGCATAGCCGAAAAGATGCGCCGCACACACCTTTGGAGCTGGTAGGATAGCACCCTACCGCACCTCGACGCTGTCTATTCCGTTGCCGCTCCCACAACAAGGTGAGGTACCTGGACTGGAACTTTGCGGAAAACTATATTTCTGTAAAATTGTTGTTTAATAAGAAGTAAACACATGCTGAGTGTCATCTTTTATTTATATAATAAGTGAAGAGAAAACATACAAAGGAATGGTAATACAAGCATTAGGTAAGAGCAAATTTCAATTTTTCATGCACATACCTAAATATTTAAATGTTTTTCGTTAGTATGTACATTTTCTAACATATTGTCAGTCAGAGATCAATGGGATGAGAATCCTCTAATGAACGCTGTTCGAAGCAAAAATCTAAATTGTATACGAGCCTTGAAAGAAGCTGGCGCTGTTATTGGATGTAATCAGATTGAACTTGGTAAGCAGTATACTATTCTTTGAATATAACCGAAAAACTTTTCGTGCGTTGACAGCCTTGTTGTCAATCACCAATAGAATTCGAGTACAATTCACCCAAAAAGGCAGTTCTGCTGAATGTTGCGTGCAATCTAAACTAAAGTGTGCCCGAAATCGAACAGAATCCTAGAAACATCTCTGTTTGTCGTTAAACCAAACCACTCGGATTTAATAGTTGTGTTGACCACTGAAGTAAATTTACATAAAAAACCTAGAAAACTGATAAACAATAATTGACTAGATTTAGATCTTGGACAGTCATCATGGGTATATCAGGTTAACAGCGAAAAGACCAGGAACATTTAAACGCTAAATTTCGGGATGATTCTGCTTTAAAAAACTTCAATTTTGTCACTGATGCCCATTTCTGGCCCAAATATATGCAGCATTTTGTTACAGTAAATTATCCAAAAAATTCTGCTTTGTCTATCAGTAAGTTGGATTCAGTTAGATTACTTTTTATGCGTTTTTGTTGTGCAGCACTATAGCGCTGCTGCGGCGAGAAAAAATGTATATTACCAAGAGGTCGTTTGTGTGTGTTCGGAAGCAAATGAACTTTGTCACACACTTTCAACTCAGCATTAGGAAAGCTGGGAGACTGAAATTTTAGGGCCATATTCCCACCCCATGTGTCACTTTCCTGTTTTAAAATTATCACTCATACGCGACTTGATCTTGCATATGGACTTCGAAAATTTCTTCAGCGAAAGAAATATACAAGTTTCTTCGACGGGAAAAGATTTCGTGAATCAGACAAGATAGAAAACTGAAACTTTGCAGGGATATTCTATAAACATGAGGGGTCTTAATTTAGCTTGGCGGTGAAATTCTCTGCACGCAAACGTGACAAACGTGACACGCAAACGTGACAATTACTCAATTTTACCAAGAACTCAAAAGCGAATGTATTTTGCGAATTTCGTAATCCCCTTCTGACTTCCTCAAAACTTGCATTCTCCGCTAAACAACAGTTCATTGGAGAAGCGACCGGGCTCCATGCAAATAACTGATAATCGTGCACACTGCAGGTTCACGCTACCCCATGATATAACACTACCATCCCAATTTGTATGCAAAAGAGCGCAAAAACAAAAAAAAAAAACCAGCCAATGTATGTCCACATGTTAATCTGTAATGCGAAACCAGTCGCGCTTTTAACAGCTTGACCGCTGTAATTCTAGTGGAAAAACACACGATCGCACCAGCAAGCCTGGATGTTCCAGTCTGGGTATGAATATGAATTGTTAATTTCAGTTAAACGTTTCTCAGCAGCGCATCTGTTGCTGACAATGCATCGACTTATGTCCGTTACTCAGTAATGATATTTATAGGCATGGAACTTTGCGCTTCGGCATACCACAGTGATCAGGATACGCTGGCTGCCTGGATTACAGCTGGTGCTAATATTAATCAACACGATTATGACGGCCGCACTGCTCTACATGTTGTATGTTGTAACTGAAATGTTCTTTTTTTTTGTTGCCGAGCATAAGCTGTGGACTGGTAAGATATTGGCAACTAAAAATACCAGGTATGGAACTGAACCCATGTAACACTCACGTAAATTTAGGCAGTATCCCGAGAAGACATCTCATTAGTGCAGTATCTAATAAAGAATGGAGCGAATCCGCATGCAAAAGACAATTTTGGAAGATCTCCATTGGAAGTTGCTGAAAATCGAGGAATGGCAGAAATTGTAGATATTTTGAAAAGACCAAGCTGCAGTACAAATCAAGACGGCTGCAAAAATCCACCGGTTGTGACGTTTGATATCTTTTAGTTGTCCGATCCCAAAACTGTTTTTCACGTCACGATAAAGCGTATACATGAATGGGCTAAGTAGCCCAGTCACCGTCACACACATAATCACCATGTACGAAGACTCGTTCAACAAACGGTAGAGCAGAAATTCTCATTGTCAGCGATTCAATGATATCATGAGTGATTTTGAGTGGCAAATGATCATCAAGTACGATGTGAACTTCGACCGTTGCCAATGATCCGGTGTGGTAAACCATTACGTGATCCAGACACTTGATATGATCGTCGTGCTCAACGCAGATTCGGATTATCCGAGATAAGTTCTCCTGATCACTGCGTCTGCCAATCAGCATTGGAATGTTGTTCGCTGCATTGTAGAACCATGATGTAGCTACAAATGTGCTGCAAAAAAAAGCTTCTTAAAATTGGAGAACTATTTTGCTGCGTGCCCTAAAAAACTAAGGACGTCTAGAAGTTTTTTTTTTGCTTTTGCTCCAAGCGCCGTGTATGATTTGCAGCTGCCAAAAATGACAGTATGATGTTAGTGTTGTGGCAAAAGATCTCTTCTACTCGTCAATATGTTCGAATAAAAAAGTGATGGTGATTTGAAAGTTTGTACTATGCAAAAAAATAGAGAGGCACGGGGTGCCTTTCCGCTCGGATCCCAAATGCATGCCCTCTTTTTGTTTGAATTTTGCAATCTTCCCCAACAATTCTCAGGATTTTCTTAGGAAATGTTGTATTTTGTGGATTTTATGCAGCGATGAAACACTGAATTTTTTGCAGTTCTGTCTTTGTGCTGACGAGGAGCTTCATTTGGGATGAGTTGAGCACACTATAATGAAAAGTAACTATACAAATCGACTCTCTTTCTTTAATAACTACAAGTCAAAATGAGGCTGAGATAAAGACAGTGCGGAGACCGAATTGTTTTAACTAACTCACCAGACACAAATTGCGCCAATTGGGTCAGCATATATCCAGAAATTGTCACCAATGTAAGCTCCAAGAAGAGCAACAGCGCTCGTCAGGATGTCGTTTCGCTGATCCATTGCTAGTACCTGCAGAAAAATCCAAAATAATGATTTCTTAATTTCGGTCTGAGTAACTAAGATTCGCCAGGAATAATTATCAAGAATTTTGTTTCACGAACTTTACCTAGCAGCTAACTTGACTTTATTTCGTGACTAATGAGTAGGCTATCACTTCCTTCCGTTTTAAAAAAGGAAGGTGAAGTAGGCATAACACAAGGATAGGTTTCACTTAGTAAAACATTTATTAGAACCCAAAATTAGTCCGCATGTGTAGAATCTGAACTTTCGAGCAATCAAAGTATGTGAAAAACGAATGAATTCTTTAAGAGAAATTTGGAAACAAACCCGAGACCCGGGTGTGCCATGCCTGTAGCAAAATATCATCAGTGAAGCTTTCACTGTGCAGCCGCCCAGCATAATGCAGATAGTCGGGAAATTCGCATCCGGATGCACCTGCAATGCTTGCTTCTATTACTTTCGCAAGCTTCTGGCCTGCCATCAATTTGTGGTCAATGGCTACAGTTTGCTGTGCTTGTAAGTCAACAATACTCACGAAGGTTCTAAGAGAGAAACCAAACCCTGGCTGGAACGCACCGGGCGGGCCCGTGCGATCATGCGTTTTTGCACCGGACTTGAATTACTCAG